CCAGCTCAACTGAAACCATCAGTCAAATGTGGTTAGCGGCTATCACACCCCTGCCACCTGGCTAGAATGACATGATGAAGCTGTTAGCTCAAGCAGAGGCTAAATGCAAGAGATTTGATCAGAAACAGTTCCTCAGCAGAGCATCTGCAGCATCATCTTCAATATTCATGTGTTCTGACTTGCAGTGAGCATGGGCCCTCTAGGGGAGTGTTGGAAACATCTGGTTCACAGCAGCATGCATTAGGGACAGGTTAAAAGACCGCTCTAGAAACAAGAGTTTTTCCCAAGAGAGGGATAGCTATTCTGTTAAAGACACATTGTCTGATAGCTTGGTCTCATGCTTCACCTACAACACAAGTCCTCTGCAAAAATGAACAAAAACAAAAAGAAGAAGAGGAGGAAGGATCAGGGCAGGTTTTATTCTGCAGTCTGCTGCGTGGCACATTCACAGGGTGCACACACCTGGCCCCCAAGCTTTTTCCTTTACAACTTTCTGCTACTATTGTTTGCCAGAGATGGTGAAGAATCTGATCCGCATGTGCTGTGCTCAGAACTGTTCCTCTAAACTAAGTAGAGCTGTGGTGAATGGGTGACCTCCAACTAGCTGCTGAATGAAGTGGTGAGGCTGAGTTGGTAGGTAGAACTCTCCCTTCCCAGGAGATACTGAACCAATGACTCAGGATGGGGCACCAAGATGTGGGTGGGACATATCTTCTCAGACACAAATGCTGTCAACTTGTGATCAGTAAGGATCCTATTTTGCTCTGTTTACAAAGATCCTTATTTATTATTCTGAGAGCAAAAGAGGATAACCCTACACAAGAACAGATCTAGCTTAGGGTAAAAGGAGGTTGAGGATGGAATGCTGTCAGGACCCACCCTCATTCTAGCATGGGTAATTAAGTCCCTCCTGCAGCTTCAGGTTGATATGGTATTCGTCGCCAATTCCAATTCTTAAACTGGTGAGCAGTGTTGCTGTGAGCTGTTAAACAGTGGCTGTGCTTCACTACAGAGGTGGCTGCATTCCAGTATATCCCGCACAGGCGTTCCGAAGCTTAATTGAGTATCATATCTGTGAAGCAACTTGAGGCCTGTGCCAAGGCATTCATGTGCTCCAGCATGGAAGGAGTTACTGGGTTCTGGCCAATCAGAGGTGAGTAGAGGAGAGCTCACCCAGCAACTGCCTGAGCTGTACCTAGCACTCTCTGTGAAGTGTATATGGGGACTACTTTAACATATGCCTTTTACTGGCGCTCTCGGCAGGCAGGTGACACATTGGGACAGTGGCTAAGAAGAGGTCAAAGGGGGTCTAGCCGAGCCTCAAGGGAGCTGATTGGCAGCACCTCACCCATCACCTCTGAATTCAGCCCTCCCTTCCTCTCTGTAGAAGTGAATTCCCACTCAGCACATTACTTCCCATTTCATTAGCAATCCTCCCACAAGCCACAGAGAACCCAGCCTGCTGCCAGGCTGAAATTGGCCCAGGTTTCCCTGAGGAGATCCTGGATAGTCTTTCCCCAAAAGCACTGGGAAAGGTCAATTCTTTTCCTGAATCTCCTGGATTCCAGTAGCACAGCAGGGCGGTGCCAGAGCTCATTTTGTGTTACCATTACCTGAGGGGACTACACAACTGGAGCTCAGGGTGTCAGCACGAACCCCAGGAGTCCCAGTTGTCAGAGGAGATAGACCCAGCATGGGTTTCACTTCAGGTGGATGAGTGGTGTTGTTCCCTTGGAGATGTTTTCATCCTGGGTTTTCAGTGCGTGCCAGTGAGATACGTTGGTACCAAATGATGAACTCGCTGTTGTAATATGTGATTGCATAAGCCTGGGCATGCCCAAAGAGATCCTGTTGTACAGCATTACACACTGCTGCCCTGACCGGGAATGGCGTCAAACAGCTCACGGAGGGCTAACACCATGAGCCATCAAGCCTGCAGGCTGGGCCAATGATTTTGATTGGCTCTCAGCTACTGTCCCAGCCCATGAACAATGGGCAATCATGACTGGTGGCCAGGAAACAGGCCCCCTATTTAAGAGCAGAATTCTGCTCTGTGCATTGTCATAGGTAACTAGGGCTCAGCGGAGGGACTCTGCCCAGCTGGAAACACTGAAGAACCTCTGACGCACAGAAGGACAAGATCAGACACAGGACATTGGTTCAAAGAGCTGTAACTCTTGAGAGCTTTAAATGTCTCTGTGGCTAAGAAATTCCTTTGCCAAGCCTGGGGGCCTTGCCTTCCTGCCACCTTGTACGTGAAGCGGTTAAACTAGAAGGCCAGAGTGCCTAGGTGGGCAGTGTGTAAGCGACTGGGGGATGGGGGTGGTTGGGAGGTCTCTGACACTGATTTTGGGGTCTAGAGCAGCTGTGCCCCACATCCCAAGGAAGGGCATGAGCCCAGGAGTGTGCCATAGGATCCCAGAGCTAGACACAGTGACTGGATTCTACCCAGACCCAAATGGCTTGGAAGCCCATGGAACCCAGCAATTAGGTCCACTTGCAGGAGACTGGTGCCCGTACAGAGGGAGACTGGGCCAGATTGTAATATCCAGCACTAGGACTGTAGGGACAAGAATGATGTAAAAGCTAAACTTCCTGTTTGCTTTGAGTTTGGCCAGGACTCTGTAACCCACTGGTGAGTGTGTGCTACAGGTTTCCCACTGTACCTGATCCACAGAGAACATGAGTTTATTACAATCCCACCCATGGCTGCCTGACTCTCTAGCTGTAGACACTCACGTTTTTACCTCCAGTGGTCCCCAGTTCAATCCCCAGTGTGTTGGCCAAGCTGGGGGCCACCACATATGCGGCAGTGATCTGCCCCGTAGCCATCACCCAGCCCCTACTACCCTGAATGCTGATGCCCAACTGTGCCACTGGCAGAACCATGGCCTTGTGTACTGTTGCCTGTCTGAGGAGCGAGGGAGCCCCCTAGCTTTCCACACTGGTACAGCTCCTGAGCTGGAGCCCCTCTGCATCCAAGCGCACAGAGCCTCTGGGACAGCACTTGTCGCCCATGCTTATTTGTATGCACTGTTTGAAAGGTGGTGGTGTGTTAATTGGGATGGAATATACAGTGTTGGCATAACCCAGACCCTGCCCAGCATTAAACTGTGTTAAACAAGGTTCAGGGTTTGGTACACAAAGACCTGCTCAGTGCCATTGCAAACACCCCGTTAAACAGCCTTCTAAACCTTTTAGTAAAGATATAGAAATGAAAGGAAACAGTTAATGTGTTTGAAATGCAAAGTATTAAGTGAGGGTTTCTTTTTAACAACATCCCTTATTCCCTTTCCCCGCAGCTGGAGAGAGTCTTTAAAATGAAAAAGCCCCTGTCTGACAATCCTTTAGATGGTAAGAACTGTCCATTTGGGGGAGGGGGGGAGAAGAGAAGAAGTTAGTTGAGAGGGGCTGGAGCAGTCATTGTTGCTGTTGTTAAATCGGATCTCATTTCCTAAGAAGACAAAACAAGACAAACAAGAGGGAAGAGAAAAGAACAGCAAAGGCAGGAAAATGCAGCTTCTGTCTCTGGGGTTGACTCTGACATGCAACCTCACTGCTGGAAAAACACAGACCCAGCACATGGTCTGACCAGCTGCGCCGAGACCTGGCAAACTCGTACCAGCATCAGGCTGTTTAGGGCACTGGTTTAGCTACCTCCGTCTGGCCACAGGCTCACAGCAGTGCCGTAAAATGGATGGTCTTGGCCAGCTAAGTCAAATTCTTATTAAGACAGAAGGGACAAGCAGAGGAATAGGAAAGAGAAGAAATAAAGTGGGGAAGGAAAAGAACACACAAAGCTGGCAAAGTCCCATATCCCACATGGCAGGATTCAGCCACAGCTGGTGGAGGTGGTGATGTCATCGGGATCCCTCTCTCTGACCTGGTTGGGTCAGGACACCTCTCAGGATTAGCACAAAGAAGGGCCAGGCACAGGAGATGGTGGGGGTGGCAGCCATGATAGTGAAGGTAACTCCAGTAGCCAGTTTTTCTCCCAAAGTCTCTTTCTGTAAGAAACCCTGAAGGCAGTGGTGGGTGGAACAGCCCATCCCCTCATTATTTTGTCCACCAATTGGGCCTAATATCAGACACACCAATACTAGCTTATTGATTTTCAGTCTCACATTGTTCCTATTTACTAGGCATGAGCTTAACACGATCCTTAAGTTATAGGCTTTTCATTTGCACCTTTTCCCATCAGCATTAACTGTCTAGGTTATTGTGACACCTTAGGACCTTCCACTCCTCCCTTCTCACAGTTAAGCTCAGAATGAGAGTAAATTGATAGGCCAGTCATCACACTGTGTTGCTGTCCGATAGGACCAGCAGGGATTCTCTTGCACCTGAGGGCTGGGGTTCTTAGGAAGAGGCTTCTATACCTCTGCCATTTGGTGCATATTTCCTATGCAATTCCATGTAACTGCACCACCCTGCTGTGCATCTCCCTGAATAGAAAGATATTCTGCACTTCCAGAGTCACAGGCACATAAGTTCTAATATTAGTACTTATTTAAGATGTGTTTGAAAGGAAGAGGGACATTAGCCTCCCCCACACTCCGGTAGCATTGGTGAACATAGGTTTAAGCCTGAGTGTGGGGGAGTCTCAGTTACAAGCAGGGAGTCCAGCTCACGGCCTATACATCACCTCTGGAGCTGAGGGACTTCCACAAATGCAGCTTTTCACCCCTGGTATCTGTGACTGGCAAGCCCTTAACCAGTGTTCTCCTTGGTCTCTTACAGATTGCAGTGAACGGTGGGCCAGAGGCGAAGGATTTAAACCCAGTGCCAGGAAGAACGAACAAGGTTCACCATGGATAATACAAATGAGATTCCTGCCGGAGGACGGGGAAAGGGGAATCCCAGCTGAGGTAGTAAAAAGCCCCTAATCTCTGACTCCTGAGCCATTCACCAGGAGGAAAGCGCCATTTCCTGAACTGCTTCACCTTTTTTACACCCCGACTGGCTCCTGGCAGTACAGATCTGACTCACTTGCCTGATTATTAATCTGATTTCCAGGGATCTGGAGGAAAATTTCTGGCTTGGTGCCAGGAAGTGCATTAGAGACATTGACTTGCTGCCCACAGGCCATGCAGGGACATTCTCTCCCCTCTTACTGACAACAATGGAAAACCCAGCAAAGGGGCAGAGCATTTCTTAATGTGGACTCCATGTGTTTAACCCCTGTAGAGCCCTTGGGAACAGCATTGGAGAGTGTTAGGCGATGTCGTGGAGGATCTATCTGAGGGCTCAGTGAGGGACCAGCTTTGCTGCCTAAAAAGCAGAGCTACTGGATTTAAGCCTTTGGGATCAGCTGTTATGAAGGGTGACTTGGAATTCCAGGTGCATTTCTCTGCTGCAGCACCCTGCTGTGAGACCTTCAAGAGCCGGGATTGTCTATTGCTTTGTCCTTTCAGGGACTTTTTATAGGGGGTTGTTCCTGGTGGCCTTGGTGCTTTGTCTATAACTGATGAGCCTCTTCACTCAGCCCATGGGCCTCCTCCCTTGAAGTGAAACAAAGAGGCGCAAGAGAGAGAGAGAGGGAGGGCAGCTCACCTCACCATGGTGCTGCCGCCGCCTGACAAGCGCCACGTGTGTCTGACCACCATTGTCATCATGACCAGCATGGCCTTCATGGATGCCTACCTGGTGGAGCAGAACCAAGGGCCACGGAAGATTGGCGTCTGCATCATTGTCCTGGTGGGAGACATCTGCTTCCTCATTGTGCTGCGCTATGTGGCAGTATGGGTGGGGGCTGAGGTGAAAACAGCCAAGCGGGGCTACGCCATGATCCTGTGGTTTCTCTACATCTTCGTGCTGGAGATTAAGCTGTATTTTATATTTCAGAATTACAAAGCAGACAAGAAGAATCTGGAGACAGTGGCCAGGAAGGCTTTGACCTTGCTCCTGTCCATCTGTGTGCCAGGGCTCTACCTGGTGCTGGTGGCCTTAGACAGCATGGAGTACATACGAACCTTCAGGAAGAAGGAGGATCTGCGGGGACGCCTCTTCTGGGTGGCCCTGGACCTGCTGGATATATTAGATATTCAGGCCAACCTATGGGAGCCACATAAGACTGGGCTTCCCATCTGGGCAGAAGGGCTCATGTTCTTCTATTGTTACATACTGCTCTTGATCCTGCCTTGTGTCTCTCTTAGTGAGATTAGCATGCAAGGGGAGCACATTGCTCCGCAGAAAATGATGCTCTACCCTGTGCTGAGCCTGGTCACCATCAACATTGTCACCATATTCATCCGGGCCATTAACATGGTCTTGTTCCAGGACAGCAGGGTCTCCACTATCTTTATTGGCAAGAACATCATTGCTATAGCCACCAAGGCATGCACTTTCTTAGAGTATAAGAAACAGGTGAAAGAATTCCCCCAGAATGCTATTGCCCTGGAGCTCCAGCAGAACTCAATCTCTCACAATCAGACTATCCACAGTACACAGGGAATTTCTCATGAGCAGTCACCCACTAGGGAAATTCTAGATACATGACGGATCACCTCCGGACATCAGCATTGGCTTGCATTGCATTGGGGAGTGTAGGGAGGTGAGAAGCTGCTCTCCCATTGTATGGGGCATGTGTGATGGACAAGTCCCAGCAAGGAGAGCTCTCCCAGGCACAAAACACTTACCATGTTTTAATCAAACTATGGAGTGTTTCCTAGACCTCTTCATCTCAGGTATAGCCCTAGGAATTCTCCAGAATAACCAAATGAACTTGCAAAGGACCTGAACCAGCTACGCCCTCTGTTTTCCTTCCACCCACTCCTCCCCTGCCCAACCAAGTTCCCTGATGCTGAGATTTCTCTCTTTGTTCCTTAAGACTCTCACCTTTGCTCCAAGTCTGGAATGAAGATATTGTTACCAGAGTCCTTTGTATGGAATGGGAATGGGCGGGAGGGGCGTTTGCACCAGTTAATCCTGTGATTATAGATGTGTCTTATTTCAAACGGTTGTGTTTACTGTTCCCTATTTATAACTGTCTCTTCTTTGATCCTTTCTGAGAATCCCCATTGTTGGGTCTGGTTTCTTTTGGTTTGTAATCCACTGGAACAGCTCCCTTTGCTATTTGTCCCAGCAGGAACAACACAAAAAGTAGCACCCAACACAATAAACAGCTATGTCTCTCCTCTCATTCTCATGCTACTCGGCTCAGGCTGCTGGTTGGGAAGCAGGGATATCCATCTCTGCTAGTGCACTAAGCCAACTCAGTGGGGAGCAGTATTTGACAAGCTAATGTTAATCTAATGCTGGTGTTTTATGTATCTTGTTCACTTCAAATGACTCAGCACAATATTTCTATTTTTAGAAGGATCTCTCTCTCGCTCGCTCTGGCAGTGCGAACGCTCCTGACTACAACAGATGGTGCAGTGCAGCTGCCCTGGTGAATCCAACCAGGGCCAACATGAGTGGAAGCAGATGCCGAGGAGAGCTAATAATAATGACGATGATGATGATGATGCATTTCACTCCAGCATCAGCGTTTATAAAGAGGGCTGCTTTCCACAGCTACTATATTTTTAAAAATAAAATATTTCCATAAACCGGAAAGAAGTGCTGCTTGAGCCACATGACCATGGGAGGGCTGGGAACCAGCACCATGTACAGATCTTCTCCCCTTTGGGCATGGCAAACGGCTCATACAAGCAGCTGTGGGGCAGCTGAATAATAAAAATAAAAACCCAGTGAGAACAAATGGATCTGTAGTTTTGTGTCTGTGTTTGGCGGCATGTGGAGGGCTTGTAGTACTGCAACACTGCTGGTGTCCCATCTCATTTGGGATCTCCTGAACCCACAGCAGTTCCTGCCACCAGCATTCCAAGCTCCACAGCATCTTCTCTTGCTACTCCATCCTGATTCCAAAGCACATGGCTGTGCTCTCTTCTCCCCAGAGAGCATGATCATGATGCGTCTCATGGCCTCCCACAGGTGCCATAGCTTGCTCATTCTGCTGCCTAGAGCTGGCTGAAAAATTTTTGATGGAACAGTTTTCCATCAGAAAATGATGTTTCATCGATTGCAAAATGTTTCATGGGAATGTGTTGATTCTGATGACGTTTTTCTATAGAAAAATTTCAAAATGATTGGCAGTCAAACTGGAATATTGTGCTTTGACTTTCTCATTTCATTTTGTGTTTCCCATTTTGTTCCATTCTGATTTTCTTGTTTCAGTTTGATTTTTACATTACATTATAAAATATTAATTCTAATATTATTTGGTATTTAAATATATTAAAATTAAACATTTCAATGTTTCAGAAATGAGATTTTTTTTTTCAGAATTTCCATTCTGTGAAAATTTCAACTTTACATCCTAATACTGGATGAAAACAAATTTTGGAATTTCAGAATGTCCCACAGGCCAGATGTTCTGATTTCTCTCCTGCTGCCCCTACCCACCATAATACACCCATGCTGGTACTGCTAACCCCCAAAATAGCATGGTCATGCCACTCGCTTCCCTCCCCACCCCAGAGCATATCGCTGCTGACTCTGCTGTCCTCCCTGACCCAGGAAGCCCTGCGTCAAAACCCTGTGAACTAGTCTCTCATTCTGCTTTTCTCAGGGGAACATAGACAATGCAGGGCACCAAGGCGACGCCAGAGCACTGCTGGCATGACATAGATTCTTATTTACCCAGATCAGGTGCCCATGGAATCCAATTTGCCATCAGGCAATAACGGATCCTCACTGGCTATAGTGCTACTGTAACGCACTGTTACCATGAGGGGTATGTGTCATCCTCTGTTCCTGACCCCAAAGGCTATGAGTCTGTTGCTGCCTCACACCACTCCCTTCAGAGGTTGGCTGTTCAGCGCGTGCTGCAGCAGCATGTGCTTTTTAGTGCTGGATGACCTGGGTTCAACCGTAGGGTCAGCCAAGGCAGCGGCCATCCCACTGCAGTGCAAATATCCAACAGCTTTCAGCAGGCGGGGCAATGTTTTCAGACGCAGATGCCTAGACTTCCAACATGGCCTGCTCTCTGGAGTGCTTCGCACATCCCCCAGGGAGAGCAGGAGGCAGAGGGTGGGCAGCAGTACCTCAGTTCTCATGAAAGCCGTAGCTGGTTTTGACGCTCTTTCTTTGAAGGAGGTGTGGGGGGCTCACTGAGTAGCTACGGACTGAGCTCTAGGGACATGCCACACTTCCCTGAGAGGACAATGTACAGACAACTCCTCCTCGCAGTGCCATGGCCCAACTGCCGCCCTGCCCCCTTTGGGGCACTGCACCCTCCCGCTTGTTGCCTCCATGTCCTCACTCATTGCCCTGACAACATCTGTCCCCAGGAGTCCCAAATCACTGGGCTGGAATGGCCTGTCAGGTGCCACTGCAGCCCTGTGGCCTCTGCTGTGAAGCCTTCCTGTGGCGAAGGTGCCCTTCCTCGTAGTTCGTGCGAACCACCAGACCTTGCCCTGGATTGGAGACCCCTTCTACAGCCTTTGGGATGCCAGGCTTCACCCAGAAATCACTGCAGCCCCGCGATACTCCCAGAGCCCTCCAGCAGCAGCTCCACAGTCCCTGACCAGGGCCCTGCCTTCCCTGCCACATACACAGGCCCTTCCCCCATGCCATCCCCACCCTGCAATGGGAGGAGGGCAGCAGAGGTGGGAGTTCCTGCCAGTTCCCGAGCCAGGCAAGACTGTGGGTTTGCAGGGCTGGCTCTGCTCTCTGTGCATGGGGGGCCCAGGCATAATGCTCAGGCCGCTGGGAACCCCAGCAGGCAGTGCTGTGTCCTCTACAGCCAGCCTGCCAAGGCAGCCATCACTCCTCTTGCTTCAGAGAGCTCAGCAAGCTGCTGTCAGGGTGAGAGATGGGCCTGGATCTGCATGTCATCGAGCCTGCAGATGCCCGCTCCAGGGTCTGGGCATGGCCCATCACAGTCAGGGCTTGGGCACAGAGCACCGAGTGGGAGCTTTCGCCCAGTGTCAGGAGAGTTTGAACTTGTCCCAGTTACCATGTTCAGACCTGGATCTGAGCTCCCTGTATCCCAGGGCGGGGGGAGGGGGGGCAGGGTAGGGCAAGACAGAGGATTGGGCCCAGGACTGGTTTCAGCCCATCTCTAGTCAGGACAACAGCCTTGTCCGCATGGGCACCCAGGGGGCCTGTACTTAGCGCGTCTCACTGCAGCGTACTGGGAAAGCTGGAGCCGGCACTCATTATCTGCACAGCAATGGGCAATCTGCACTGACGCCTCCCACCGCTGATTATACGGGGACAAGGCCACAGCAACAACACGGTCATCTAGGAACAGCTAGTGTGAGCCCTCATGGCTATGGGATTTTGAAAGAAAAGATACACCTCACCCCCGACACACACACTCTCAGCCACTCTCTCTACCCTGGCCCACCTCACTCCACCCACTCCAGCCCCAGCCACCCCCCTGTACAAGCTGGGACCGAGCCTACTCAGTGACCAGGGTTCCTCAGAGATGTAACGAGACAAAGCTCCTTCATGAGGTTCCATTACCACCCCAACAAAAGGGCTACCTCCCCCCACACAGCAGAAGCTGCCCAGATGGCTGTGGGGACATGGGGATATGCTGTCCCTGGTTAGTGTGGATGCCCATGGTTAGCTGGCACCCCACACGCTGGGTCAGAGTCACCAAATTCATTGTATAATCGGTGCTAAATGGAGCTGGTGACGGCTGCGTTCCTCTTGAAACAGAAAGGTACGCCCCTCCCTCCCCCCGCTCCCACCTCCCTGAGAACATGGGCCACAGTAAGTGATGCTCCATCTTGCTGTGGGACTTGTACCAGATCTAATGTGGGGAGTGTTCTGAGCCTGAGGAATTACCTGCGAGTCCTAAGGGCCCAGCCAATCCAGATGACCCAGGGCAGGGATCTAGGCTCCTAATGAAAGCAGCCACTCCAGTCTGCTCAGCATTGCTACCTTGTTGGGGACTCTCTCTGCTACATGGTAGTGCTGACAGACCACTCCAGCTACATCCAACCATCCAGCTGTCCTCACACCTGAATCTAGTCTCCATGGGACACATCTCCCTGTTCAAGAAGGGGTAGCTGTGGGCCATGTTTGTTAACTCTGTGGAGGCCACTTCCCTCCCGGGTGATGTTGTAGGGGCTTGTCCACTGGGATAAAAACCAGGGAGGGAAGAAAAGCAAATAGAAAAAAAGCAAATGACCTTCAAATGGCCCCGAGTAGAGTGGGCAGCACTGGAGATTAGACATCTCATTCCCTTCCCAGAGATAGCAAGAGAGAGAAGAGCAGGTATTTAAAATGGATTAGCAGAAATTAATTAAATTGCTAAATTACTCTGGAATTACATGATAACCCTACTGATGCCATTAGAGTACATCATGATTAGCATCAGTGCAATTAACTCCCAAGTATCTAATAACATTCTGCCCCTCTTTTTGGTGTCTAATTAATTTATGTCCCATTCTTTTAAAGCTTTTCCCATAATAGATAAATGGTAAACCTACCGACCCTTCCAATTCCTGCAATGCCTCTGGCACTGGTACTGTATAAAGATGCTACATGAGCGCTAACCATGTTCCAGATGATGGCGACTGTCATTTGGAACATGAGTCAGTAACTTTTATGGGACACAGAGTTACTCCTGCATGCAGAAGATTAGAACAAAGGGATATCCACTGCATTAAGCGCTCATACAGACATGCCTTCCAGGCTGCCATAAGTCATCGGACACAGCACCTGCAGCTAGTGTGCAGTCTGATTTCAGTGCCTTCCTCCCTCATTCTGGCCAGTCAATCCAAAAGGAACTGCTGGGAAGTTCTGCAGAAGACATCTTCACTGAGCACTGCCCATGAGCCACAGCTGCTGCACCTCCCTGCTGCATGCAGGCAAAGGGAATGTCAGAGTAACAGCCTGACCCCAGCTCTTTGCACGTCTCCAGCACCTTTCACCGGAGAAGCTCAAAATGCTTCCCGAGCAATGAAAGTGCCAATCCCCTTGACAACCAGGGAGAGGGAGCAGCAGGGCCAGAGTAGAATTTAGCTCATTTTCTAGCTGAACAGAGAACACTGAGAGCTGTAGCCACAAACTGGTGCAGGTGTAACGCCGACAGTCCCCGGTCATCGGCGGGCGGGATTGAACCCGGGGCCTCAGGAGCTTAGTGCATGAAC